CCCTCAGGGAGATCAACACTCCCTCCCAACTATTTTGGCCTATTTTCTATATAATCAGGAAAGTATTAAGCTGCATGCTATATGGGTTGTTTATATTGCCTAATACAAGCATTCTTTTGTTTGAAACCAGTCAATATAATTGAAGAGAGCTGACACTATCTAGAAATCTAGATAATCTTTCCAGAAGAATGGCAGTGAAATAAGAGCAAAAGGTGAATAAAGAATAGAGAAAACTTGGTATCCTCCTTTAAATACTGAAGTACCAGTTTAAAGATCTCAAAGCTCGCCTTACTGAGATCAATCAGTCTTTCTTAAGTTCCTTCTGTGTGGTGTGCTTTGCCCAATGAACATCACCCTTAAAAAGCTGTGGTCATGAAACTGTCATTTCAAGGGTTGCCAGGTTGCTTGCATTAGCAAGAGTGGATGTGGTCATGCAGTGCTGTTGCTGTTTTCATCTGGCTAAAGATTTAATGACTTGCTAGCATTGCTAGAGCTAGACTTCCACATGATGGCTTTCTCAGTACTTCTGTCAAGTTTTTCTTGTGGCATATAAATGACAGTGTAATGGTAGCTGAGTTTCTAGTATAAACTGAACTTTTTCCTCTTCCACTTTTGTAACACAACACCTGCAAGTCACCAACAGAGCTAGAGCAATATCCCTGTCTGAACTGGAGTGTAACATTCCAGCTGTGTGTAAGAATTAGCAGAACTGATATTGGCTTCAATCGGGATAAAGATTTGTTATTTCTTTGGTACTTTATTTATCTTCATGCAGTCATGTTCAAAAAGCTGTGATATTTCTTACTGTGGTTTATCATACCAAGTCCTGGTAGACTTGAATTAAAATGATATTACTTTACACTTAGTCTTTTAAAAAGTATTTGGCATGTATTAAAACAAATGGCATTTTTGTGACACTGACTGGCACTTTATGAGGAACTGGATTCCAGGTACTCCATTTAGATGTAGGAAGGGGGTGATAAATTTGCAACACAATTGTGAGACACACACGGCACATCTAATGCTTTCAAACGTGGGCCTCGCTTTTTTTCACAGCAGTTCTTAACAGTGTATGAAACAAGACTTCTGCACTCCTATTTTGCAGTTGCCCGTCACAAGTGCTGAACTGTTCATCATTAGGTGGCTATAATGTTGTGCTTCCTAACAGCATGCAAGCCACACAGCACAAGACAGCCATTTCATTTATTTGCCAGACAGGGAAACTCAGTGCTTTTATTGCAAAGGACCCTGGCATTTTAAAATAAAAACTGTTAGTTTTGAAATCTGAGACTGTCTGAAATAGTTTTGTAAATTCTTTTTTTCTTAAACTCTTTGAAATTTTTTTATACTTGAATTTGGATATCATCAAAGATTGCTTTAATTTTGAATGACTTTCCTTTTGACCTCTGTGACTGTAAGCTGTGAAGTTCATCTAAGACTAGCAGTATTCAATTTTTAAAGCTGATTTGTAAAGAGAACCATGATATCAGAATTGAGACACTTGCAGGTGCTAACCAGGAATTTTTTCGTACATAAAGCAATTACGGTAATATTTTAAAAGATTCATCAAAACAGAAGAACCTTGTGAAAGAAGGTTTTGCTGTGCTTACTGCCTGAAGTGCCTTGTTTACTCAAACACCTGCATGGACCCTTTGGATCTTTCTTTGTTATGCCACCTCTGTGTTTAACATTTCGTGTAATGGTGACTTAAATTTACAGGGACAGATTCTCAGCTGATGCAAATACTAACTGAGCATCTAGCATGCATAGGCCTGACGGTATCTCAGCTTGAGTGGAATTGATGGGTGTGGAAACCAAACTGCCATTTCGCACTTCCATGCATCTCTGTGTCTGTGTTGAGGCAATATAGAGGCTGTGCAAGAGAAACTGTTACTTTAAGTTCTCATTTTGTACCTGCTCTGTAGATAAATCAGAAAATTCAGGTCCTTAGTTCTTACTTATATTATGATGTGTGTGATTTAAGCTTGCTTTAAGCCTCTTTTAGGCTACCAAATTACTGAGACATCCCTAACAGAAGTAGGCCTTCTGCCTTCAGTACTCTCTGTCCACAGCCATTGGCTCAAACCCTCCCCATCAAAACAAAACCAAAAAAGCAAACCCATCAAAAACAGCAGAAGGTAGACCCCAGAATACCTTTAAGATCCTCTATTTTTCTTTTGTTCTTGCTGTTGTACAGTAATTTCAGTGCCTCTTCTGCTTGTCTTATTTTTTCTTACCTTGTATGGTATTTATACTGTAGAAACCAGCAACACTAATTTTACACTTTTCTTGTTCCTGAGGTTTTTCTTTCAAGCTCACTTTGCAGACAGGGAAGTAGTGTTCTCCCTGGGAAGTTTGAGAACTTTGGCTGCTCATGATTTCCTAACACCTCTTGACATCTTTTGTCCTCCCTCTGTATTTCAGTTGAAGATAAATGGTGAAGACCAATCTGCCAATGAGTTTTGTCTAAAAAAAAGATAGCTACAACTGCTAAATATTCAGTAATAATCTGCTTTATGTACCATAATTCACTGTGTAACAAATGCAATGATCACCTTTTTATTAGTAGTCATTCTCATCATCCTTTTTAGTACCCATTCTGCCATTCCCAGTGCTCCTTCCTGCCTGCTCATATAGTATTTGCAGGCACAATTTCTTTCTAGTGCCTTGCCTTGATAATTCATAATGGATAAAAGAATATAGTGGTCAGTATGATCAGAGTTCCTCTTTTCAGAAGAATTTTGGTGTTTCTTGGAATTGGTGAGCACATTAACATTTAATTCTTGGAATTGGTGAGCACATTAACATTTAATTTGCTTAAATTTTTAAGCAAAGTGTTAACAGAGCACTTCGTAAAATGAAAGGTCACAAAATGTAGCTCAGGTTTATATCTTTACTAGGGGTAGCATGCTCTGTTACAAAACTCCTCTACATTGTATTCTGTAGTGCATTTTCACCAGTTATGTTGAATCATTGAAATGAAACAAAAAAACCAGTACACTCTGGAATTGTGTGTGCTTTCTTTTGTTATACGGGGAGGACTGGTGAGGTGTTTGACTTCATCTGCTGCTCCTCAAATCTTCCAGGCTGACATTAGACCTGCAAAAAGCGGAGGCATTCTTGTGCTAGAGCAGCTCACGCTGTGCAATGCCTTGCTCGGCCAGCAAGCTAAAGCAGTTTCTGTCTCCTAACAGCAAGCATGCCCGCCAGTGAGACCGAGTCAGTGAACACAGAGAATGTGAGTGGAGAAGGAGAGAACCCAACCTGCTGTGGAAGTTTATGGTGAGTACAGGGACTGTTTGCAAGTAACCACCTTCATCCTCTCAAAATTTAAAAGAATCATTCTTTCCCCATTGTTCAGCCAAAACTGCTTTCAAATAGTCAAGCGATGACACCTGGGGTTTTTTTTGCCTTTCAGTAGTTTAATATTAGACTGATTATTACAGCATTAAAGCACTTACAATTCTCAAGATATAAAATAATTCAGCTAAACTTCCAGTGGAGTCGTGTTTTCCTGAAATCTTTTGTGAAACGGAATTGCTGTCCAAAATAATAAGAAAGGAACAGAAGTCCCCTATGACATGTAAAATGAAACATTTCCTGTTAAATTGTGCATGGCCTGGGCAATACGCATTTTTAAGACAATAAGTATGGGAGTATTTCTATATCCAATGGTGTTAGCTATTTATTTGCCCAGTTGTTCATGACTTCCAAGCAACTCCTACATGAGCAGTTTATGTACTTAGTTTTAAAGGAGATTTCTTTCCGTTGGAAAATTTGTAAAGCTTCAGGAATAGTATTTCAGAAAATAAATATCAGAGAATAGAATTTCAGCATTCATGATGCATTTTGCTAAAAGCTTGGTTTTATGTATATATAATTACAATGGATTGATTTGCAAATTTCTAAAGAAAACATTTATTTTAATTTTTTTTCTACATTCTTAAAAATATGTTTTCCTTTTCTTCTAGTCAAACCATCTCAAAATCCAAGTTCAGGTCAGTATTTTCTTCTCTCTTCATAATTTTTTCCCCTTATTACTATTTCTACATATGACAGTTACTGTTGAATACAAAAGTAAAGTATCCGTGATCTCTCTTGGAACTCAAGCTCCCTGATTTGCTTTGCTGATATTTGTCACTCTTTTTTTACTTACTAGGAGCGTTTGGGAATATGAGCTTCTGTTTGCAAGTATGATTGCAGAAGGGAGGTGTTATAAGCAAAATTAAGAATTAATAGTCCTGATACCGCAGACAGTGGATGTGCCAGTACAAAACTAATAGGTTTCTTTATTTTGGTTTTATTTCCGTCTTATAGGAGATATATTTAGCAATTAGGATAATTGCAAGCACAGAAGAAATACTTCTTTCTGTTTAAAGAGGTTAGGTTACTCCATGAAGGAACAACAACAAAAAAAAGCTGTGTGATTTAAGGTAGGTGATCAAGTGGTAGACACTCCTACAGTTGCAGACAACCCACAGAAATATTTTTCACAGAAAATTTTCAGTGAAAAAAAGGAACGATCAAGAAGACTTGGCAACATCTGGCATCAGCAGTTTTGTCAACATCTGGAATAATTTTTTAACCCTAGTAAAACTGATTTCAGTGTTGGGTGTATAGCAGGTAGTTCTTTGCTAACAGCAGTGTGTTCTCCTTGCAGCAATGGAAAGGAATAGTGTAGCCAGGTTTATTCTATCAGCCTTGCTGGCTCTAATGACCTACCAGCGCTGACCAGTTGGAGTGGAATGTGTTCCTTCCGAATAGTCGTCTTTCTTTTTTCGAAGAAGAGCTCCCAGACAACAGTTAGCTGGCACTTGTCTACAATGAGAGTTTTTTCATGTGATGCTATGATCAAGCCTTATTTTGTTAGCAAACTAGTGACAGCATATAAATGTGCTTCATTCTGCTGAAGACTGTGGCCAATGGAGATCTGACCATTTATGATGGTCGTGAATACACAACTACAATTTTAGAAGTTTCATTATTAGTTACAAATGCTGTATGCCTTCTGCTACAGCAACTGGCCTTAGTTACACCAACTGAATGGACCAGTTATGTCTGTGTGGACCTTTGAGCTTAACCCTTTGTGAGAATCATAAGAGATGAGAATATTTTTAGCTTAAAGAGAAGTGATTCAATGTTCTAATCATCTGTAACTTCACTTGCCATAATAGTAGAACAAATGGAACAATTTATTTAATATTTAATTAGCTGAGAATCCCAAACAAGCATGATTGAGTCGTAAGATTGTTTCCAATCAACTTATAGCATAATATTTATTGCTATGAGGTTTACTTATGCTGGTATTAAAGGAGAAACTCGAGTATGAAGTGGTCACATGAAACTGCAAATACCAGGCAGTGCAATAGACTGCTGTTATATTACATCGTCAAAGTTTGATATGTTTGCACAGTGGGGACTCACAGTAGCTCTACACGGAAAGCAAAGTAATGCCTACGTTCTGAACCATGCCAGTTATTTGTATTTTAAGGAAAAATGAGAACTCCAGAATTTCTGTTAAATGCAATCTGCTATGTCAACTTTGACAAAGGAAAATTTCTACCCAAACCTGATGATTTTAATAGTCCAAGCAGTAGTGGGCTATTAACTACAAGAGTAGAAGCAGTCAGTGCTATCCGTCTCTGCAATCATTCTTCATAATCAACACATCAGTTTGAAAGACAACTTATTTGCAAGCCAGAAGATCAGCGAAGTATCTCCATTTGTCTAGATTCTGCCACTGTCTTAAATGTCTTTTGCATGAGCTCTTTTACCAGAATCTGTTGTGGCATTAAAAAAACATAAGTCACACAGAAGTTAATTAATATGTGTACTGCTGCATCTATTCATGGAAGTCATGACAATCATCAACGAGAGATAGCTGTCTCTTGTTTGGAAGTGCTGCAAGTGTCTGCAGCTGCTCGAGGTCTTCAACCATACTTAAACCTTTTAAGCTGAATTTGGTAATGGGCATTCCCTTTTCAGCTTTCATGTCTTTACTCATAGCACTGGAAAAAGATTAGTTCCTTTTAACAGTGAGTCCATGTAAGAAGTAGTTTCGAGGCAACAGAGCTCAAAATTATAGTCGTGCCATTGTCTTCCAAACAGATGTGGCTTGCACAGTGTCCCAGATCCCTAAAAACAGCTGATAGCATTTGTTATCGGAGAGAAAAAACTCTTGGAAGAGCTGCTGGCTTTGCAATGCTACTTAGAACAGAGTGTGTCTGCTCTTTTATCTCTGTAAGGATCTCCAGACTCATGGTTCTCATCCTATTGCTTCTGGGTACCTAACATCTCATATTTGCAAAATCCATTCTTTTAATGTGTTAGCAATGGTTTTAAACTAGAAAAGAGTAGATTTAGGCTGGATATTAGGAAAATGTTCTTTAATATGAGGGTTGTAGATCACTGGCACAAGTTGCCCAGAGAGGTGGTGGAGACCCCATCCCTGGAGATATTCAAGGTCAGGCTTGATGGGGCTCTGAGCATCCTGATCTGGTACCATTGTCCCTGCTCACTGCAGGGGGGTTGGACTGGATGAGCTTTAAAGGTCCCTTCCAACCCAACACATTCTATGATTCTATGAATGTTTTTGGGTTTTTTTTTCCTTTGAATCACTGGTTTCTAAAAAGCTCTGTGTACCTGAAATACAGATACTCACTTCTGCAGTAGAGCCCTAGGGATATACTAGCACATTCTAAGCAAAATGCTAAATCTCGATCTAATTTTTACTCTTCTGTCCTTATCCTTGCCCCAGCTTTGGGAATGCTATTCTGCAATGGCATTACACTGTCTCAGGACAAAGTAAATCAGAACACAGCTTATCAAAAAATACTGGGTTGACCATAACCATCTTTGCCTTTGGATCAAAGTAGAAAATGCTTTTTATTGCAAGCTAGCCTACCTACTGAACCACAAATGAAAATGAAGGTTAATCTGTAGAAATATGTTTTTATAGAGTCAGATGGGTACTTAGTCAAAATAACGACATCCTAGCAAGCTACAGCAATTATCAGCCAGTTTATTAAGTGAAGGTTTATATCAACCACACATTGTATTTGCTTTATATCTGTAGGCTTTTTACACATACTTCTATTATTCATGCATTTCTACATGTGAGTGCCATTGCATACCCTTCGGCAGCATTTTCCTATGTACACCACTGTTTTGTCACTGATTTCACAGACCTTTTTTGAGGAAAAAAGCCCCATTGGCTTCAGAGAATGATGAGTTATGTACTTTGAGACTGCTTCGGCACTAGAGATACCCAAACATTATCACCCTTGTCTCATTTACTTCACTGATAGGATGTTCTGTAAGTGTAAAAAAAAGACTGTTTTACTGTCTTCGTTTAAGGCTCAGGGCAAGCCCAGGGAGCAGGATTTTCTCTCTGTTGTCCCCTACCCTCCCAAGAGGAGGATTTAAAAAAAAGGGAATAGAGAAAAAGATGCTTCGCACAAGGTTGAAAGTTAAGACTGTAACGAGTTTAATGAAAAACAACAGGGGAAAGGAAAAGGGAATTAATAAGGGACAAAGGATATTTAACTCTATACAAAACCTGATCCCAGCAGTCCCGAGTGGAAATGTCCCAGCAGGGCCTCGTGGCCGCTGTGACCGCTGTGACTGTCACCAGGACCGCAGTGGTGCCGGGAGCGGGTGGTGGTGGATGCTGCCAAGCACGTGGAGGCAGCCCCAGCCGTCCCGAGATGCGACAGGAAGCAGCCCAGGAAACCAGGAAAAGCCCTGAAAACCTCGGGCCTCCTCGGTTTTTTACAGGCTGTGGCTTGAAAGGGGAGGGAACAGTACTGATCTGTGACCCTCCAGGGTCCTACAGACACCACCTGTCCTTCCCTTTCAGGCTGGTAACCCTTAAACCATAACATTTACCTGCCCAGGGAGTGAGCTATCCTGATGATGGCACAGCACTGCTTAGCAGGGAACTGGCAAGATAAAAATGTTTTTTAATACCATGTTGCTTTAGGTCAGGACAGGATATTTTTCCTTTATATGGTTAGAATACTGCAAAGGCTCAAAGTACTGATGTACTTTGTTCTGTACAACATCTTTGTACTGATGTCTGAAACTAATATTAATTTCCATTACTGTGATTAAAAATCTCAGGTGTGCAAGGAAAACTCAGTTAATGCTTGAATGCAATGCCAAGCTCAGTTATTTTTATGGTGGTGTTATTGCATACCAGTTGTATTTTCTGAGGCAGATTTTATACATACAAATACAGTGCCTGCTAACTCAAAGTGCAAGTGTTAAGAAATTCACCTAGTTATTTGTAACGGTTTTCAAAAGCCATAGTTCCATGTTTGTGGTACTGCCAAAAGGACTGCGGCACCCTTCACCTGTCTCTGCCCTCAGTCTTCCTGCTCTTTCTGTGATGCAGAATTACACTTAATTGGATCAGACAACTGACCAGCTAAAATCAACCCAGAAAAGAATAGGTTGGTTTCCAGCAGTCAGTTCTCAGGTCTGGCTCACTTTGTTAGGGCTAGTTTTGGCAAAAGGGAGAGAGCAGAACAAGGAGAGCAGACCACGTCTTCCCATCACAACAGATTTATGCTAGACTGGCTCAGTAGTGATACTGCAGAGGAAGAGGCTTATACATGCACACTTGTCTCAGTTCCTTGCTATTTTAAGGCTAGGTCAAGCTTCCTTGGAGTCTGCCTTTTCTGTGCCTTCAGTTTTGGATGAAGCTCTTGTCGATTCCTAAGATTTATTATCTGAGTCCACAGCAGTAGTTACGGGTGTGTGAATTTTACATACCTCTCTTTTAGGTAATATCAGGTACTTCCTAATCCTTCTCTTCCTATGACCCAGCAATATATTTTATTCCTGTTTCACAAATGGAAATGCAACCCAAGGAGACTGATTGGTTTACTAAAGTTCCCAGAAGTGAAGCAGAGAAACTAAATCTAGTTTTGAGTCCAAAGCTAAGCTAATACTCTCACTCATCTGGATAGGGCCTGTTCACTTGTCCATGGTTGTCACTTGTATTCATTTCACAAATGTTTGCCCACTGACACAATTTCAAGCCCTGTCAGTAGAAATCTCCTAGAGTCACTGTCTGAGATTTCTAATGTTATAGGGTAGGTTTCTAAAAGTTGATGACAAGATTTCTGCCTTGTTTAATCCTGTCGGAATTGCCTGTGGTTTAACTCAGAGCCTATATTTTTGGACTAAATGTAATTTGAATTCTAAGTTGCTTTATTGTCTTGTCTTTACTTCCATTAAGTATATGGGGCCTGGGAAGACAGTCTATCTTGTTACTCGATGAAATGTTAAATGCAGCTTAATCTAATTATGTCACAGGCAATTAGAGTCTCCAAAAGTGGCGGTTTATATTTAAAAATCTATAATGAAATCTAAAAAAGGAATAACAAATTAGCACTCCCTAATCTGCAACTGGTAATAATTTATGCAACTAAGTATTGTAAGTATCTTTATAAAAATACACCTGCTCACACATACATACTTGCACTATGTTTTGTACGCAGAAGAAACCCTCCTTAAGTTCATATGTATATAATAATATATTTGTTTTTATTTGAACTTTCAGTCGACGCTGGCGTCGCTGGAATCGATTTAATAGAAGAAAATGTAGAGCTGCAGTAAAATCTGTCACATTTTATTGGCTTGTAATTGTCTTGGTCTTTCTGAACACATTAACTATCTCATCGGAGCATTATAATCAACCTGACTGGCTGACCCAGATCCAAGGTATGATAAAAAATACTTGTCTTGTTTTTGACTACAGATAATTGCATTCTATCAGTGCCTACTTTTGTGCTTTGCCATTTTGTTGTTTGCTGTCCTGAAGGAAATTCAGCCCAGCCAAAACGAGGTATAAGCAATGACTGAACATTTGATTTCCACAACTGTAACACAGCTTAATGGCATACCAGCAAAGAACTGACAGTTGTGAGTTGTAAATACCTGTACTTTTGTTGTCAAACCATGCTTGAAAGATGAGGAAGGAAATGATAACTGGTGCAGCAGAACATGTTGTGGGCTGCATTGCTGAAGTTACAGTATGGACTCACAAGCTGTGAGTTGAGCAGCCATGGACTGCATAATGGAGTGGAAAGAAGAATGTTTTATGTGATGGGAAGCTTTGCATCCTTGTGTAACCTTTGCCACTTAGACATCAAATACAGTCCAACATAAAAAATGACACTTCCTTCTTAAGCAAAAGGCTGTGAACTGTTATATAAAGTATAGTACTAGTATGTTAAAATAAAAATAAAATCTATGAGACAATTCAGCAATATCTTTTCTTTTTTTTTTCTTTTTTCTTTTAAAATATTTTGTTCCAGATATCGCAAATAAAGTTCTTCTGGCTTTATTCACCTGTGAAATGTTAGTAAAGATGTACAGCTTGGGCCTACAGGCTTATTTTGTTTCCCTTTTTAACCGCTTTGATTGCTTCGTTGTTTGTGGTGGCATTGTTGAAACCATTTTGGTGGAGTTGGAAATTATGTCACCCCTTGGAATTTCAGTGTTTCGCTGTGTTCGTCTCCTGCGTATTTTTAAAGTAACAAGGTAAGATTAACTGATATTGCTAACTTTAGGGATAGCTGAAGGGTAACCAGCAATTCTTTTGTAATACTTCATCATGCGCTGCTCTTTTACTGTTCTGTTTGGAGTTTTTTGGTGTGTGTTAACACACGCATTTTAATTTATAGGCACTGGGCATCCCTGAGCAACTTGGTAGCATCCTTGTTAAACTCAATGAAGTCCATTGCTTCACTGTTGCTTCTGCTTTTCCTCTTCATCATAATCTTCTCGTTGCTTGGAATGCAGCTGTTTGGAGGCAAATTTAATTTTGATGAAACTCAAACAAAACGGAGCACCTTCGATAATTTTCCACAAGCTCTTTTAACTGTATTCCAGGTAACTTTCTTTCATCTCGTATGAAACATTTTACCTTTGATGGTCAACAAAACTGTTTAAGCAATCATGTTGCCTGAAAAGAAAATAATGAATCCTATTTATTCAGTTTACAAGTAGCATTCTGCTCATTAAATTCAGTACTCTGGTAAATCTGCACCATTTCTACCATTTGTTTCATGTCTTATCTGATCTACCTATGCAACATAGCTGTCATATTGCTTCACAAAATTAAATCTCTTTTGTCCATCAAATACGTGACTAGAAAAAGAGGTAGAATGTTATTTTTATTTTAATCAAATTGTTTTCTTTAACTTCATTAAATCTTTAAAAGTTCAGCTGTTCCCAAGCAGGAAAAAATGAGAAGCATTGTAAGAATGCATATTTGCGTATGGGTCATATCGCTTACTATGGTATAAAAATAAGTATGAATTTCTTTAAAGAGACACTCTCAGGTTTATTAAAATTTAAAAGCAACTTGTCTGTTACTTGTGGAAAGATAGGGTCATACTTACAGTTTACTTTTCACTATTTTATGATCATTTTTTCATGTTCTCCAATTTGGATACTGGGATTAGGCAAATTGATTTTGTCCTCCTAGCTGTTTTCACATTCAGCTTTGCACATTACCACACCATTTGGTTTCAGACATTGCAGGTGGGTGGTTAAAGTTAACCCTGCAAGACTCAACTTTCTGTCAACTTCTGTCAAGACATAGGTCTCTTTGGTAGAAGTTTCATCTAGTGGCTGCTCAGAGCAAGCAACAAAATCTCTCTGTGTAATTTTAACATAAGGAAATCTTAATGAGTAATTTCCTTTAGAGTAAAAATGCCTGCATTTGACCTGACATTGCCCCTTAAAAAAGTTAAGGCTATATTTTCAAACTCGACTGAGTTGGATTTTATTCAAATTTTAGGCTGCCTTATTTTCAAGGGAATGAGGCTTCCTTCAGTTTGAGAATGCACTGAGAAGCAACCAACCTGTTGGATGCTCAGCAACTATGGGAATCAGCTTGATAAGTTTAGTTCTCCGAAAATGAATTTCAAAAATTGGCATGCATATAATTTTCTTGAACAACCACTTAACTACGTGGAAGGAGAGTTAGTATTACATATTTTCTCAGGATACAACTGATAATTTTTAAGTTGGTACTTAGAAATATATAAGGTGCCTGTATAATCCTGCATTGTAATACTCAGAATTTTTGTCATAGTACAGAAAAAGTGGAGTTGCCTTATTATAAACTATCCTTTTAACTCATCAACAGATTTCTGTAAAATTCTTCTGTGAAATAATGTGAAACAATAACCAATAGGAAGATCATGTAGTTCTCCCACAGCATTGAACTCCATTCGGTTTAAAATAGCTACCATTTCAAAAGCTATAGCAGTAGTGCATGTGTGCGGTATGTGTGTTGTATAGTTTATGGTAAGGCAGCCAGTCCCCTGAAATGGAGTAGACCAGTTTGCAAGACTAACAAATGGCATATGCCAGAAAGGTTTGAGGCCACTACTTAAAGAACAACAAGAAAAAAGAACCTTAACATATATACTAACTTTATTTTCAGGAGTGATGAACATTTGCAGGCATTACTGAAAATAAGGGCTCTTAATTTGGCATGCCAGAATAATTTAAATTTTAGGCTTCTGTTTTTATTATTTTTGCCTTTGAAGTTTAGCAATAGAAACACGTAAAATAAAAGCTAGTAGAGTTAACCCCAGGCTTATTTAAATGGAAATTTTAAAACAATGCATGAAAATATTATGGTGTAGCATTATGTATACAGAAGGATAGCCTTACTGTGTATTGTGGTCAGAGGAAACTTATTTCTCTATTGCTTTTTTTGGTGTTGAGTTACTAATAATATATCTGCTTCTTAGATTCTAACAGGTGAAGACTGGAATGCTGTTATGTATGATGGCATAATGGCATATGGTGGCCCATCATCGTCAGGCATGATCGTCTGTATATATTTCATTATCCTCTTCATCTGTGGTAACTGTATCCTTTTCAGTCACTGGAAACATCTCCAGATGGGGCTGTGTGCCAGGAATGTATGCAAAATTTCTCTAGGAGGGAGTAAATTGCAATGGACACGCAGGCACTTTCTGCATGTGCTAAGTCCTTTAAATAGACTTTTCTTTGTACACCCGTTCCCTAATGAATACGACTCCGATGATCTCTAAGTCACCAGAGCCACCAGACACTGCAATGGCTGATCTCTGTGGCAGTAATTTCCCATTCATCCTTTTGATGTTTGATATAGCCCTGTGAATTCTGGCACACGCTGACAGCGGAGCCAGTGATCCACTGTGTGGCACAGGGACCAGATGAGAGAACTCTGCATGGAGAAATGTTGAGTCAGTTAGGATTAAGTCTGCTGAAGCATTCCCCTTCCCTTCCTTCAGTGTACTGGAAATACTTCCTTGGCCCCATGTAGCAACAGAAACTAGTGTCATTCTCAGAAGTTCTTCGAAGGTCAGGAGATGATAAAAGGGCAAAAACATTCTGTTTTCTGTACTATACAGTACTCGTATCAGTATTTGTACTTAACCTGATACGGACTGAAGCACAGAATTTGATACAGATTGTTGTAGACACAGAGGATAGTGCATTATAAAAATGAAATTTTCAAAATGCATGAACAATCTTCACTTTTAATAGACAGTGTCTCATATTTGGAACTTGCTCAGGCTAGGATAAAGTGGAATTTTGTTTATTTAAAAAAATATATCAAGTATGCTGCTATTTTAAAATCAGGCACTTTGATGGATCTCTGCGCATTTTACACCCTGTATTAATCTAGTCCATTAAATGAGTGTTATTTGCACTACACTCCAGCATCACAAATCTCTATGCTGTAGCCTGGGAAGTGTTTATAGATAAAAAAACCAAACAACTATAGTAATGTATAAAGTCCTTAAAATTATTTGAAATAGATATCTTGCTAAATGTCTTCTTGGCCATTGCTGTGGATAACTTGGCAGATGCTGAAAGTCTAAATACAGCTCAGAAAGAAGAAGCTGAAGAAAAGGAAAGGAAAAAGAATGCGAGGTAAAATAGCAGGGGCATGTTGAATAGGGAGGAGAGGGAAGGAGGAGAGTACTGAATTCTTTCATAAGGATTATCTTTATGTTAATCTTTGCCATCTTCAAAATCTATTGGAGGGGGAAAAAGTGAAAGAGCTTAACTAGACCTTAAAATAAGAACCAATTGGTATGATTTTGATTAAAAGTTGGGTAGTAATTGGGAAAATGCGATGAATTAAGGACATAATGATAAGCCATCTGATATTTAAACATTGCAATGGTAGGATTTATTGCACAATTAGAACAAGAATGTATCTGTCGTTGCCAGTGTGCATCTCCCTGTGGAACCAGTTCTCTAAGCCTTATATAGACAAGAAGAAAACCTTCCTTTGAAGTCAGAGCAGGCCTATTGAAGTCAAAGCAAGTTGTTTGTATGAGTCCAAGGGCACGGTTTATCCCTCTGGAAAGGAGTAATGATCATACATTGAATTTTTTAGGGATTACCTACTGGAATTATATTCAAAATTATAATCTTTTTAATGGATCATTGCATTCAAATGCCATAGATTTTATTGCTCTGACACCTGCAGGTGGGTGAAGAATTTTAAATATTTTACTATATGGTTTTAAGGTATGCTCTCTTATCTTTTCATAGAATGGGTATAGTTCACTTAAAATCTTCTGTCTTTACATGATGTGCTTTGTAATTGTTGTTGTATTGTTTTGTAGAAAAGAGAGTCTGGAAAATAAAAAAAGTGAGAAGTCAGAAGGTGACCAAAAGAAGCCCAAGGACAGTAAGGTGTTTATTCTAAAAATTATGTCTTTTCTAAGAAGCAGTTTTACTAATTTTGCTAGTGAATACTTTTCAAGACCATTGTGCATTGCATTATTTCCTTTATGAACTCATCATCCCTACATTTTTTCCAGACAAAGGAAACTTAGTTCTGATGCTTTGCATCCTCAGAGAATCTCTTAACCCAGAAAATCATATTGGTGTCAAGATATCCTGAGAAGGGAAGCTCTTAGAGCATGAAATAGTTAATGTTTTAAAAAAAAATTGTTATTTTAGGATCTTTGAAGGTATTTTGTCTGATAAATCTAGTGGAAGAGATTAGTCGATGATACATTCATGTTCAAACATTCTGCTAATTTTTTACCAAAACCTATTGGCTACATTCTCATTGCAATCTGCACAGCCAGAAGAGTGGGGATACTCTATCTTTTAAAAGTACGTATTAAACTGTCAGCTCTCCTCTGTTCTTACAGTTACTCTGTTTCACAAAACTCAGACTAAGCATAGGGATCACTTCCCTGACTTCAGAGGCTTATTTTGGTTCGCTTTCTCTTGAGCCTTATACTCCAAGCTATATTTAAATTTATTTTTCTTCTTGTGCATCCCTTTCATTGCTGTAGGTGACAATTGCTGAATATGGTGAAGGAGAGGATGAGGATAAAGATCCCTATCCACCCTGTGATGTACCAGGTATGTGAACACCAGCCAGAAGTAAGTTTGCTTGCTAAAATGTCCTAAATTTGCTCTTGCTGAACACTGAATCAATTCCTTTGAAGTTGATGTTGTGCTCTGTTATCAGTGGATATATGGGCCTGTAAGCTATTAAGTATTATCTTTTCCTGCAGCTTCCTAGACAGTACAGACAGCATATGATAGTTAATAGTGTGAGCCTGAAGACTGCTGTGGTAATGCTAGCTGGGTTTGGGAGCAAATTCTAAACTTCTCTGAATATTTGGCAAAAAAAGGACATTCCAGGGCTGATGATGTTCAGTTACTTTTGTCTTAGCTTCTTCCAGTCCAGTAAACATAGTTATCTAAAAATCAATTCTGTCTAATTGTCTGGATGCCTGTTACAGAAATCTGCTCTACCTTTTGAGCACTCAGTGGTCAACCAGTGCCCAGAGCTCAGCGCCCCTTTATAGGGGTGTGGTCAGGGGCTCCGGAGCCCATATGTAGGGGGTGTGAATGGAGACACCAGGTGAGGCTGTTCAGGGCCAGGAAAGCCTGTTAGTACGCTCAGGACACTATGCATATAAACATGTGTAGAAGTTCATGACAACTATATGGATGTTCATATGTTGATTCATAAAGTTTTAAAACCATGCTATGAATATGTATTTCCTATAAACCATATATATTTTAATACAAGCCATGCTTTTATATTGTTATGAATAAAGCCTCAATGGCTTTTATTTTATAGTAAAAAAATGTTTACATTAAAGTAGGTGAAGATGAAGAAGATGAGGAAGATGAACCAGAGGTACCAGCAGGCCCACGTCCCCGTAGAATATCAGAACTAAATATGAAGGAGAAGATAACACCGATCCCTGAAGGGAGTGCCTTCTTCATTTTCAGCAGCACCAATCCGTAAATATAATTTTGTAAAATACTGTTTTAGTCCATCAAGGCTTAGCAGTGAAGGTGCAGACCTCCTTCCATTGAGATTAGGAATAGAACTGCAGTATCTTCAACAGGAGAGAGATTGGCTTCTCTCCTATAATTTTCTGAATGACTTGGTAAATTAAAAGGGTTTGATAAATACATTAATTTGCTTCCTACTGTTGGAGATCATCGCATTTTGTACTTATAGTCTGTGAAGTCTGCAAATGTCTGAAAAGTACCCTTTAATGTATATTAGCTATTTAGTATGTTAGTCCACAGCTTCCCTGGGCAAGCTGTGCCAGTGTCTCACCACCCTCACAGTAAAGAATTTCTTCCTAATATCTAGTCTAAATCTACCCTCTTCCACTTTAAAAGTTCTGACAGTTTTAATAAGAATCAGATCAAACTAGGCAAGTGAAATGGTTTACTATCTAGCGTTGGTCCTTTTGACGTTGGCCTCTGTATGTTCTTAGTGGAACAAACGCTGAACCTTGTAGTGACATTCATAGCTCATTGAAAACCAACAGGAGCTGGGACATCCTCCCTCAGGCACTTTGATATGTGCGTCTTCACTAAAGGTGGATCGGATTTTGAATTTATTTACATTTTTAGAAATCAGAGCAATAACTTCATCATTTGCGCTGCTTTTAGCTGCTGATGGTTGCTCTGTTCTGTCCTTGTTGGCAGAGTAATAGAAAACATGTTGTGTATTAGCCATCTGCTGAGGTCTATTTGAATACATGGTATATTTTTGTATCTCTTCTTCAGAATTCGAGTGGGATGCCACAGACTCATCAATCACCACATTTTTACCAATCTCATCCTTGTCTTCATCATGCTGAGCAGTGTTTCCCTAGCAGCAGAAGATCCAATTCGCAGTCACTCTTTTCGAAATAATGTAAGCCCTTCATGTTTATGTCTGAAGATAATATATCGTCACAGGATAACAATCCTTTGGGACTGGTGCCTGGTTTTTAATTTTCAAGTTAAGAAATTTTAATTTTTCTTTTTCAAGTAATTTATTTTTTTTCCTGTAAAAACATAAATCTCTAAAGACAAGTAACTTTATTGATGGAACATCATAGCTATTAGAACCATTTATTACGTACATAATGTTTTTCCTTTGTTGGCTATTAATGTATCAGAATATACATTATGGAAGATGAGGATCAGAGCCTGCCCAGTTCTTGATTCAGAGTCAAATGCCATTTCAGCCTATATAGAAACCTGAAAATTTGGAGGTGTTTCTGCACCCTTTTTTTAGGTATACTTGTAGAAACAAACTATTTGTAAGAATGTTAATTTCAGAAATGTCTCTATTATTCAGTAAAATTGTAGTTTATATGTTAAGTAAGCATCCGTGTTCTCCGAAAGCAAATTCCTGTATCCCCATTTTAAGTTCTTAATATAGTAGAAGAGTTGCCTCAAATACACCATTATTAGACAGAGAAGCAAAAATTAATCCACTCTCGTGACCACTAATGTTTGTCTTACGCTTGTTGCGCTTGTGTTAGTGGTGAAGCAAGCCTCTTGTGTTATTGTGAGTTGTGCACGCCTTTAGATTAGGTATCAACTAGCTAAGATGATGCAACTTGATAATAGTCTGTGGGGACTTTTGGGATACTTTCACAGAACTTCCAGACCTCTCTTGTCTTAGATAGAAACTGATCTGTAGAGATTGCCATGGAGTTAGAGAAACTCTTTTAACTCTTCCAGGAAAGATGGGCCTACTATGACAGTAGAGGTTGTATCCCTCTAGTTCTTGCTAGTCTAGATGCAGCCTCTGAAAGTTCTCTTGTGGCTGTTGACATTCTCTGAACACTTTTTTCAGAAACATAACTGAAAACCAGAAAGCTAAAACTTTCTTTAAAGGTAAAAAGAGGTCAGAGCACAAAGACACTCTTCATGTACTATTCAGTAGAACTGTGTGCTTCCCATATCTATAAAACTGGACAAGTGCAGTCCTATGAATAAATCACACTAATGGATAAGAAAAAGAGAACTGGTAGAAATGGCTTTAAGGGCTGATGTTTTTGTAACTAGAGGAGTACTAGGAAAACACAACTGGACAGTGGTGGTAACTGAAAGGATTATTCCTATTTGGGACACACACATGGAAAATGCGTGAGCGGTTTGAAGAAGGTATTGCCCTCTTGTTCTAGATATTCAGAAATGCACCGGACCTGCATATCTTACCTTGAATGATCATGTTCCTTCGACCAGCCAGCTTGGCAAAGGAATTAAAGATTACAAACTGGAATGCCTTTAAATATTTTCTTTTAACTCTAGATTGAATTCCTTACTGATTAATCTTTGTCGAATGACTTTAATATTTGCCTGTTTTTTCAGCCACAGCAAGAGACAGAAGGATGTGATCTTCAACTAACATGGGGAAAAATTATATGCATTTTATGATCAAATAGGAATATTTTCTTTTTGGCTTGTCTTTTTATTTTATTTCTCCTTCCCATTTTATTAATTGTTCAAACACAGGAAACACGTTTCTGTGCAAAATGTTTTCCTAGTTGGATTGCTGGATCCTTGAAACTAAACTAGCATGCTGCTGCATTTTGATCACTAAGTTAGCTATTAGCAACATGGCCACCTTGAAAGGATGAAATCTTGGTTGAACTGAAATATATGGTAGTGTTCCTGTCCACAGCAGTGAAATCAATAGCACATCCACAGTCTTTTTAAAAAGTTTGTGCATCACTGTGCAACTATTGTGGGTTCTTTTAAATTTCCTACCAAAAAAATCACTGCTGTATCTTCCAAGAGTTGGTGTGCTGATTTTAAGTAATTCAGTTATTCAAAATTGCTTTGTGACACTCAGGGTCAAGAAAACATAGCAGAATGTAGAATTATGTGTAGTCTAGAAGGATCCATTGAAGTTTTATTTTTTGATGCAATGCTTTGGTAAAAACAAACAAACAAAACCCCCACAACAACCTATTATTAAATAATGAGTACTTTGTGAAAGATTCTGCATCTCTGCTAAAGGCTGAAGAAAGTACCTGTGACAGCTGATAGAAGAAAGTCTGAATTGAAAGAAAGTGTTGTTTATTGGGTCCTGTTAACTCTTTAGTGGTAAAAACTAATATATAAGCACAGTTGTATCTGATAAATATTGAAGTAAATAGAAATGGTTACACTATAGCTGGAATTTTAAACTATGTTGTCTGAATTCTCCATCCTTAGCCTAATTCTGGTGGTGGTGTGCATGTGGTCTAAATTGTAAAAATTTCTTAATAGATGGATTTCTTACTGTGGCACATATTATACCTTGCAGATACTTGGTTACTTTGACTATGCTTTCACAGCCATCTTTACTGTTGAAATCCTGTTAAAGGTAATGCATTGTTAATTGATCCTTGTTAGCTCAAAAGCAGCTTTAGCAATAATGTTTGTAACTTTTTGTTTACCTTCCAGATCCTAGGGTATGCAGATTATGTCTTCACTAGTATGTTTACATTTGAGATCATTTTGAAGGTAACAGGTTTTCCAAAGGAAGTTTGTTTAAAAGGATTTTCCTTGTGTGTCACCTGCCAAGAAAAGGCACTTGAAGTGTTCTTCGCCTTTTCTCTAAGTGATCAAAGCTAAACTTCTTTTAAACCAGAGGATTTTTTTTTTAATTTGACAGTTCCTCATAGTTTTGATTGGTTATTTTTTACCATTGGGTGCATGAAGAAGCTGATTTTTTATCATTACATCAACTTTTTACCCTTTCTAAACTTACAGTTATCAGAAAAGGGAAAAATAATTCACTGCGCATGAGCTTTTCCTTCTCCTTGCTCTGGCATTTTCAAAACAGATAATCAGTCTTTTAAGGAGGGAGCATGTAATTTCTCATTTCTTTTGCTGAACTATATTTACAGAGCTAAAATAGTAGATAACTATTTTCTTGCAATAGAACTTGCAAGATATCTTGCATTTATCTATCTATATACTAAGATACTTTGCATTTATCTTGGGCATACATTTAAATATACAGAAAGGCATAAATATGCTTGCTTAAATGTATTACCCGTGCATGAATCAAAAATTGGCATTTTAATGTATAGTTTGTGTACTGATTATTAAGAACATCCATTGGGGTTACTTGGATTTTAGATGCATGAAGCTTACTCTGGCATAGAAGCCATATAACTGAGCATTAGGTTCACGTGTAAGAAAATGCTGAAGAAAGAAATCAAAATTTTTGGTGGGAATTTGTAAAAGATTTTTCCGGAAATTTACACATGATTCCTAAAAGTTTCATGTTGTGCATATTCACCATGAATTTTTGATTCAGTAACCCTCATCTATACGCTTAAAAAAATTCTGGTACACTAAGAATCTGTACATAAACTTTGCATTTGCAGTTGAGGATTAAGCTTAACAAAATCTCTTCTCCCAGCTTTTGCTCATATTGCTGTGCATACTCTTCACAATGTGATTTGATTAATACTAATTGATGCAATATTTGGGCTGTTTACAAGATAAGCTGTACTCTAAGTAGTAGACTATTTTTATGCTTGCAAATATTCTTCCAGACTTACATTTATCCCTTTATTTCTCATTTTCAGCAGTGATGAGCTTGCTATAGAATTGATTAATCTTATAACTTTTGTAGCATTCTAAAAATAAATACCCACTTTTTATGCCGCTAGAGAAAGAACTGTAGCATTAGATCAAACTGGTTTCCAACTCTGAATTTGAAAAGCTGTACAAAATACATTGTACCCTTTCTGTGGTACCACCATTTCTGTGGCAGAAGAGAGCTGGAAAACTTCCTGCTCTCAACAGCAGTTTGTGTAGTCCTTGCAGTTCCAGTTGTGTTTCTGTAGGAGAAGGAGGAATTCTAAAACATGGCATAAAGAGGCATAATTGGATGTGTTAAGAAAAGCATCATTCCTAGTGACTGCAGAAGAGCCTGACACTGAGCATCTCAAGAGTTACTCAAGGGAAGTAGGGAGCACTAGAGCTTGGGCTGCTGAAATCTGGCATTGTAAAATACTACAAAGAAACAAGAAGGCCTATCATAGCCAGACATGTTGATGCCCCTGACTCCACTTTCTCCAGGAAGCTCTGCCCTGCAGTTCACTCACGTGTTTATAAAGTAAAATAAATTGTACCGTAAAAAATGTAATGGACAACCAGAAGGTGACACAGGTACGTACACAGTGCCTGCTTTACTAACATGTCTCAGACACTGGCTTTGCTTGCTTATGGCTGCAGTCCTCCGTGTCTTCCATGCTGAGTTTTGCGCTGTGCTATCCACAGTATCTGTTGTTCAGAAGCTGTGTGTGTTCTTGTAAAGAGTAAATTCAAGACTAGACCTGCAGTAACAATAGCATTCCATAATTTCCAGGCAAAAAGTATATGAAACTGAAATTAAGATAACCAGAGGCAATATTATCAGTTGCAGCAAAGAAATTTGTAAATGTCCAAAAAACAAGCATTAGAACAAAATAACAACTCCTAAACATGTAGAGAGTCTCCCTGTGCTATATTTTATTGACTGCTCTGCAGACATGAGGATTTCCACATTGTATGGTGTTGAGCATATGGTTGAGGGTAAGAATAACAGAAAAGCTACAATGTCAGTTTAAAGCATTTAAGAATTCTCTGTGTAACATGGTGTTCAAATCCATCTTACCATCCTGCTTGCAGTACTTGGGAAACGTGAAAACATCAGAGCAAAGGTCAGGTTAGGGCTTTGTGCTTTTAACCTTACCCCAGCTGTGCTAATCCCACACCATGTAAACCAGTCCCCACTGGTGTGGAATTGTACGCAGGGGAAAAGAGTGGCACTGGTGGTGCTCTGGGCACTCAACTCAGTGAGTGTCCTGCAGCATCTGCTCTGCTGAAGGCTGTGTGACAGTGCCCGCCACCTCAAATCTGCTGTAGGCATTGCTTCAGTTTTCATCTGTGCAGAAGACAGAATAATTTGCCATAGAGAGTTTTAGCTATATACTTCTGCTGGGATTTGTAGTGACTGAAATATGAACCCGCATGTAAAGATGAGGAGATACGTACTTCACCTGTATTTTTAGGTGGCTATATCCTTACTTTTGTCTTTACGTGAAACTTTGTGTGCTGCAGACTGATAACATACTACTGTGTAAATGTGTTTGTAGATAGATGTAGATTTGATATTCAAGGTTATTTTAGTGTTCAAGGTGATTTTAATGAGCTTAGCCATACTCTGTACAGGTGTAAGTGAAAAGAGCTAGGAATTTATTGGAAGTTTTCTAATACAGTTATATTGCCTCTCTTATGTCATGACATAGGTTAAAGTTTTAGCATTTTTATGCTTCTAGTTTTGAGGAACTTTTAGTATTTTGATCATGACAAAAGAAAGTTGAACACAAGAATAAGGAGAGAAGGGCTTCCAAGTAAAATCTGTCCTTGGTAGCTTGCATTCCTTTGCAGATGTATGGCTTCCACCTACACTGATGGTTTTTCATGCAAAAGGCTGCAAGTTTGTGCAAGTAGTGACACAGTAGCCTGTAGAAGCCCATTAACAGCTGGTAGCTCTGTTGTACGTTGTCATACAGCCTTGAAAGATGTAGTGTAATAGTAATAGCTATGGAAAAACCCATGCAAAATTCCACTCGTGTGCAGATTCTGTGCTTCTAATGGCTTAGTTGGATTCTTCTGTGCATTTTCTAACTGATACTTACTCTCAATTATGGTAAGGGCCTAATTCATAAGTTTAGGAGCCAAATTCAGCTTTGCAATACCTGAGAACATCTGCCCAGACTTCGTCTGCAGCCATAATTGATAGAGTCTTTAGCACTGGCTCCTAATGACACCTGCAAATGATGTATGCAAGTTCCTTCACAAGACACCCTTTGTGTGCTTCTTTCACCTTAATCTATGCACAGAAAGCAAAAAATTAAGAGAAAGTCCAGTAGGGAGAGCAATATTTTATATTCCCCACAGGCCAGCAAAAACAAAGAAGACAGCGCCCGGGTGTGCCTCGGGGATTCAGCGCTGAGCGCCGCCCGGAGCGCGCGTTTCCTCGCTGGGGTTGGGGCTGGAGCACCCTCTCTCTCCCTGTGCTTTTTCGCCTTTGCACTAGTTTTTTTTCCTCAGTTTTTCCGCGGTTTGGGCGCTTTTGCCACTTCCGTGAGGTCCACGGGCGTGGATCCTCCGTTCTGCAGCCCTTCCTCTCAGTGACTGCGAGGACGCCTGGACGCGTTCCTGTGTGACCTAGTTTAGAGGATCCTGCTCTGGCAGGGATTGGACTGGATGAGCTTTTGAGGTCCCTTCCAACTCCTGAGATTCTGTGATTCTGTGTAAAATAGAACCATCTATGGTTTGTTCAACGTTATTCCAAGATACCCACTTGAGATCTTGACGCTTCTCTTGTGAGCCAAAGACAAATAGCAGTGTAATGCTGCCTTATGACAGCTTTGTGCTGGTTCTGTACCAAATTTGTCTCTCAGGTTTTTGCAATATATTTTCAGCTTCAGTTCTCAAGACAGTATGAATGAATAGGAGTCAGAATCTGAACCTTATAGTTTAGTAAGCGTGGATCTTTTATGGTTCTTGTAGTTACTTTTCTAGCAAAGGCCAAATCAATTCAGTGCAATCAGCTCAGCCTAATCTGATCTTACACAAAATGTAGTGTGTGTTGACATCAGAAACAACACATTTTCTGGTGTTGCGTGAGCAGAATTTTTGATTTAAATGAAAGATTTTATGTACATAGTGGGATTGTCTTATATTTCAGTTACTTTTAGAAAGTGAGATAATATTATACGCATTCACACTGTAGGCAAGTGTCTTGTAAACAGCCTAAATGTGAATTTGAATAAATTGAAATATAGACTAAATGTGTAAAATTCTATTTTTAGATGACAGCTTTTGGAGCATTCCTTCATAAAGGGTCCTTCTGCAGGAATTATTTTAATTTGCTGGATTTGCTGGTTGTGGGTGTTTCTCTGGTCTCATTTGGTATTCAGTAAGTACTGCATTTGTAATGTGAATGATTTATTTTTGCTTTGGGGTTTTATACTGAAATCAGTTCCCTCATTTTGTGTGGGTGTGCAGTATCAGGATTCAGGGTTGGGACTGGCAAGAGGTAGTGCTTCATATGGAGAGTATTGTAACTCTCCATGTTGTATTGTATTAATATGGATGGGGAAGAAATTACTACTTCCCACTATTACCAAGAGAATAAGGAGGAGTGCCATGGCACTGTATTGTATAGGAAGTAACTCCTGGAGCTTCAGGAGGTTCGTATACCCTCCTTTGTGCTATTGCCACATCTACAACCTCGCTCTATGAGCTTGCTCTTTCAGCATTGACCTACTGGAGTATGTAACTTTGTGTGGCGTATTTGAAGGGGAGAGAAATGCCTTAATCAGGACTGTAAGCAGCAGTGAATAGATTTTTTTGCTTTGTTTGGAACAGGATAAACAAAATAAAAGAGTCTTAAGGTGCTTATTGATTCACTGGTGCATCATTTAAAATCATCTGCAAAACCCTTAGTGACTCAGAAAAGAGCAAGGGCTGGGTGGCAGTCAGCTGCTTCCCACTTTGTATCCTGCTTGTACCTGTTACAGAAGCTTTCACTTGCACAGTATGTTCTTCAAAAGGCTGTCTGCTATTATTTCCGCAAAGTGCAGACCGAGCTACTTAAAGAGATTGTGAGTCATTTGAGATCTTTTCATCTCCACCTGGTTGGAAATTAAGGTATTTACTGTCAACACCACAAAATACTTTTTGCTCCCTACCAAACCTAACTGTATTATAGGGTCAGACGAGCTTCTGAGCTGTTAATTCCCAAGTTCCTTCAGAAATAAAAATAATTCTTATGATATTTGAGTTTGATACTATTTTCTAATGTTAATAATGAATCAATAAAGAGATACTTTTACAAATCTTGTGTGTATATATTGAGACTTGTTTGAAATCTTGTGTATAAGGAAGTTGCAAGAACATTGTTATATTTGGTAATCAAATTAATTACCTTAAAAGTAACAGAGTAACTTTTTTCCCCCCCTAGATCAAGTGCTATCTCAGTGGTGAAGATCCTCAGAGTTTTAAGAGTCTTGAGACCTCTAAGGGCAATAAACAGAGCAAAAGGACTTAAGGTGTTTATTTACCTTTTTTTAAAAGTTCTATTTCTGTTGGCCTGATTCTTCAGTCCTGCTTCAGGTTAAAAATTCTTCTGCAAGAAAAGTTGCCTAAAAGAGTTCACAGGGCAAGGACATAAATCAGTTCCTCATTCTTAAGAATATTAGGCCAGGTTGTGCTCACAGTTACAGGAGTTTATATGTAGAGGAACAGCAATGTCATGGAGAGCAGATTTTGGTTGCAATACTTGCTGTGAACCAACATGCCAGAGCAATATTTAAGTTTTTTCTTTCCTTAATGCTTGTATAATTTTTACTCAGTTTATGTTGATGGGTCTATGTTGACAGACTTACAAACAAATTTAGAAAACAAGTTTAATTATGGTAGTAGGTATAATACCGACAACACAAACACAGTAATGTTAAAAAATGATCTGAATGTGGTAAAATAGACTTTTACAGTATGTATTCTGTGATACTAAGTAACAGTTTGTATTAAAAGATTTTTTTTTCTGTCTTTCCAGCATGTTGTTCAATGTGTCTTTGTGGCTATTAGAACTATTGGTAATATCATGATTGTCACAACTCTGCTGCAGTTCATGTTTGCTTGCATTGGAGTGCAGCTGTTCAAGGTAAGCAGACGCTCAAAATTTACACAGCATCAAAAAAATGCCAAGCTGAGTTGAATTCTTGCTGGCTCGCTCCTGGAACTGGGGTGATCCCATTGTGAACCAGTCACAGGATACATGTGTTTATTTTGCATATTCTGCATTTTGTCATTGCTTTTGTTTTATATGTAGGGA